AGAGAGAGAGAGAGAGAGAGAGAGAGAGAGAGAGAGAGAAAGAGAGAGAGAGAGAGAGAGAGAGAGAGAGAGAGAGAGAGAGAGAGAGAGACAGACAGACAGACAGACAGAGAGAAAGAGAGAGAGAGCGAGAGAGAGAGATAGAAAGACAAAAAAAAAGAAGAGAGATACACATAATTCGCAATTCGGATGCCCCCAGATATTCCTCGCGCTTTGCTCAAGACAGTTTCAGAATACACAATGTCCTTACTGAAGAGAAGCTCCCGTTCTCACCATCCCACACACTCGGCTTAGCATAAGGCCAACATATTCATCCATTGACTTGCTGGAAGCATGGATCTTTGACGAACCAAACCACCCACTTCTCTAATCATCGGCCAATTAGAAACTCTCTATGCAACCTCAACCACACTAATTTCACAAGCAATAACCCCGATCTCCAGTTTCTCCAAGTACCCATTTATGCATCTATCGATCCAACGAATTGTGACATGACACGAAAAAAAACGTCCCTCAGCTTCGCAGATCATAATTCCGGCAAGCGAGCATCCACTCCGTACCCTGGAGGTGCTCAATCATCCATTAATTCTGCATTATTATCCAAAAAATACATAGGGCGCTCAGAGAACTCCGCAACCCACCGCCACCACATCTGTACGCTCAGCAAACGGCCCTATACACCATAGATCCATGCCACACATAACATATCAAACCTCGAACTCATCGTCTTTTCATTCTTCTTCCACGCTTGGAGACAAAGCTCGACCATCCACACCCATCCAACAATCATAACCTCTTATACCAACCACGCTCCCTTATTCCTATCGTACAGACTGAACATATAGTAAACATGCTACCCTCATATCTCTCCCGCAAAATCTTGCTTGAAGTTGACGATAGATAACCCCGAACCATAGACAATTCCATAGATCAACTCCTACCCCATTGCCCATAGTCACCACTCTCTCCTCCGATCATTCCCAATCAGTAACCCAGACCGACGAGAAGCAACCGCCATGATGTACAGATACCGAGTACTGATGGACCAGCGTCATCCCCGATACCCATTACGGCCGCTCCCGTAGCCTGTCAGCAGCAAACATCCCATATCGCGGCACAAAGCGCAAAAACTCAAGCAAAGGCCACAAAAAGGACAGCGAGACGCCAGATGCAGAGGAACATCGACAAGGAAAACCAATGAGGGGGGAGGAGGATATTGCATGGATACGAAGAGGAGGAGGGGGAGGAGGCACACGAGAAAGAGAAGAAGAAGAAGAGGAGACGAAGAGAAGAGAAGAAGAAGAAGAAGAAGAAGAAGAAGAAGAAGAAGAAGAAGAAAGAGAAGGAGAAGAAAAAAGCGCAAGAGAAGGAAGAGGAGGAGGAGGAGGACGATCAGGAAGACAATAAGGACGAGGAGGAAAGAAAGGAGGATAAAAAAGAAGAAGAGAAATAAAGAGTGTGGAGGAAGAGAAGGAAGAAGAGAAGGAGGAGGAGGAGGAGGAGGAACACAGATCAGGACCATCCCCAAATCCCACCACCACTCAAACCAATTCTCACGTACCAATCAAACAAGCAGGAAATTTAGTGAGGCATAAAAACAAAGGTAAGTGCATCTCATCAAGACAACCCATTCGTGCATACCACATCAAACAACTGGTTCTCAAAGTACATATCGATCACCCATTTACCACAACAAGGGTGGGTGACCGCCCAAAAACACAAATCATGGCTAGGGTGGTGACAAACATCCTAAAGCATGCTTTTCGCCAGTCTTGTCACGGACTAAGCTCATCAGAGGAAAAAATAGGAGAGCACACGATTATGGCATTATAGAAGCATACTAGAGAACCAATGTATAACAGATTGTGTTTGTAGAGGAAGGAGTGTCCCCCCCAAAAGGATCTATAAACACACACCAAAAAAAAATGCCCAGTTACTTTACCTCTGGCTGCGGCTCCACAATATCCTCTTCCGCAAGATGAGCATCCAACAGCTCCTCGAAAGCAAACGGGGACTCCATGACAGTATCAAAAGACTCTTCGTGAGCCTAATGACACGACTAATCGTGGAGTGCAAAGTATTGACACCGCCAAGGGACAGAGCGAACAAGAGATCGCAAAAGTCATTGAGCACGAGAACGAAAGCCTCGGTAGCGACAGAGTCGGCCGAATAGAGACCTCGGTAGCGAAAAACGCAATAGCGAAAAATGGTGCACTCTTCACAACAGCCCTACCAACCGCTGCGACAGAACGCTTGGTCACGATGGTCGATGAGTTTCCGCACGAGGGGACAGAGTACCCGCGCGTATCAACCCATGAGTCCGATCAGTCGAAGAGGATTAATCATGTGACTAATCATATCTTAAGTACCTCCTGTCTCACGCCTAACCCCATTACTAGACACCACACGACGACCGGGATTATTCTAGACACTTCCAGCTGGTACATACCACCCACAAATTCTCACGCAGTCATACTGAAAAAAAAAATCTTTTTCTTTCACAGCATCAGAGTCAGGTACATTTCCTACAGTCTTTTTCTAGCCGCGCTTCCATTCCCGCGCCAACCAGTGTCTGGAAACCAGGCCGAGCCCCGCCACCAACTCTATTAACTAAGTCATCTATCCAACAAATCCACATAGAGCCACAGGTTAGGCCGTTCCTTGGGACAACTCTTTAATTTTTGATTAACATACAATTTAGAAAGTGGGTGGATAACTCGCAGAACCCAAAGAACAAATTCAATAATCATTTTTTATTTCTTATTTCAATTATTATTTAACTATTATTATACTTTATTCTTTCCAACCCACTCAAAATGTCAACTTCTCTTATCGAGGGTTCTAATCAGGCTCAAGGCCTTTAAATGTGTGTGTGTGTGTGTGTGTGTGTGTGTGTGTGTGTGTGTGTGTGTGTGTGTGTGTGTGTGTGTGTGTGTGAGATAGATAGATAGATAGATAGAGAGAGAGAGAGAGAGAGAGAGAGAGAGAGACCTGCAGTGTGCAGCATGTCAGTGGGGGGGAGCACAAGGGCAGGCACTGACCTCCAACAAAAAGAAGAAGAAATTTTATTGGAATAGAAGAGTTTTTTCTTTTCGAAATCCAAATAGAAAGGGTACACGTTGAATTCGAATACAACGTGTACTTTTTCTATTCGAGGAACTCTGCTATTCGAGAAAAGTGGACCTGCACCATTTCAATTTCGAAAAAGGACTGCGGCCTCCTCGGCCGCCTACGCGCAGCTATTGGTCCTACGCGCTCCTGGACCAAAACCCGTGCGGTCCCACGGGCAGCTACCGGTCCCGCAGTTTCAAATAAGATGCTACCACCCCCTAAACTGCCATGCCTTGTTTTTCCAGCCTTCCAACGACCGTATAACGAACGACGACGAAAAATGTTCTCAGGGGCATAAAACGCA